GTCACAAATGAAGACAAAAACAACTTGTGCAAGGCCTCATGAAAGGATGAAGCCTCTTATCCTCTTGGAAAGAAGCTTGAGCCTATTTGAAGCTACGAGCTGGGGAGCTGCTTATGCCCCTGTGACTGAAGGAAGGCCCCATTCTTCTGGGAAGGTTCTGGTCTTCTCCTTGACACCATGGCAACGGAGGCCAGGATGTTCTTTAAACAAGATGGAATGGAAATCCTCACTTAGGGATGTGCCCCTCTGGGTGAACTTGGTATTTAATGGCAGGGCTAATGACACATACAAATAGTGGAGCCATAAAGAAACATAGGCTTTCCTATGAAAAGGAGAGTTTCTTTACAAGATGCACTTGCCCACATTTCTCTTAAAATAAAGTCCTAATTCCTTACTATGAACCACAGGTCCCACATAATCTGGCCTCTGCATTCCTCTTTCACTCCTTCCCCTACCACTCTCCTCCTCGTTCTGTATACTCCAGATACCTTCAATTTCTCAAACATGGTAAGTGCATCCATTCTTTAGGGCCCTTTTTATAAATATTTTTTTTTTTTATTGATTTCAGAAAGAGGGAGAGGGAGAGATTTATAAACACCAAAGATAAGAGAGAATCACTGATTGGCTGCCCACCGGGGATTGAGCTTTCAACCCAGGCATGTGCCCCAACTGGAAATAGAATTGATTTCCTGGTTCATAGGTTGACGCTCAACCACTGAAACACACCAACTGGACTTTTCTTCAACTTCTTTAAAACTCTGACCAAAATACTTTTCTTCAGGTTTCCAAGATCTATGTATGGGCAGTTCCTTCTCATCTTTCCTGGTTCATGTCAAAGTTCTTCATAAAGTCTTTCACTATCATTTTTAGGAGACCCCCGACCCCAATATTCACCCTACTCCAGTTTCTATCACACTCTTCTTTTATGTCACATATCTGTATCTAAAACTACATTATTACTTGCTTATTTATTGTCCCTTCTCCAGATTGCAAGCTTTGTGATATTTGGGAACTTGTCTGTCATGTTTGCTGCTGGGTCCCAAGTACCCAGAACAGTGTCTGGGATATAATGGGCCCTTAATGCATGTTTGTTGAATAAAGGAATGAATAAATCATGAATCCCAATTGAGAATCTGATGACAGATCCAACTCATTCCTTGGGGGGAAATGCTCTTAGTGTTTTGTATATGATTTCAGGAGGTTTCAAAGCCCTGCAAACTTATATAGGGTTTAAACCCCCGCATTATAGCTATCCTGTTTCATAAGGTTCTTTCTGAAATTGATTTTGAATGTTGTTCTTTGAAATTAGACATGAGTATAAACTTTAAAAGCATGTTTTAGGTGCAATATAACAAACCACAAACCAATCATTCCTCACTGGTTTTGAATAAAATAGATCCCCGATATTTACATGAATTGATCCTAATGATCGTATTTCATTGAATCAGGATGACTTTGTGGTATAAATGTTAATTGCTTACCCATATCCAGTTCTCCTCTCCTTTGGGAAAACTGGAAGGATTAAGCTTCCCAGCCTGTCTAGCCATTGGGCACAGCCATATGACTAACTCTAGGATTGGAGACGGAAGTGACGTCACAGGCAGGATGGCGCATTTAGTTGCTGGTGTGAGAGTTTCCAGGGCTCTACCTTCTCCTGTAGCAGTGACTGCAGAAGAACACAGTGGTATGGAGGTGCAATGACATGCCATCACATGGAGGATCCCTGCTCTGGAGAGTTATACAGCAGGCTTTGTGTGAACAAGGATTAGAAACTTTTGTTGTTTTGAGTCCCTGAGATTTTCTGATGACTTGCTTTTACCATATAACCTGACATAACCAAAATATACCACTGGTTGAAAATGATTATTATTTTATAATATTGAGGAAAAAGAAGCTGTCATTTATAATTGTAAGAATTCATTATAAGTTGCATCATAGTCTCTGAGATGTTAAAATATGAAAAAGGTGAACCTGTAATAAAATACAGATTGTTAAAATGAATTCATTAAAACCAATGAGCATCGTGTCAAGAACTCCAAATCTAGAGTTGGAAAGAAAGATGGGTTCAAATCTCAATACTTACTAGCTTGTGACTTAGTAACTTAGCCTGTGTAAACCTATTTTCTTCATATGTGAAACTGTCTCCTAGGATTCTGTGAATATTACAATAAATGAGATAATATATAATGAGTCCGGCGTAGTAATTATTCCACATATTTTAGTCACATGTTTGGTTGGATCACAAAACATTCAAGATCAACATTAATTTCAAACCACATACAGGAAAATTTCTGAAAGAGAGAGAGAGAGAGAGAGAGAGAGAGAGAGAGAGAGAGAGAGAATGAGAATGAGTGAAATAGTGGGGAGTCTAATGGTAAATCATAGTAGCAAAAGAGTACCTTTTCTGAGATCTGTATGAATGATCCACATAACGTTACACTTTTACAAACACTATGACATTATATAGGGAACGTTATTGGTCTTATGGTATGTCCAAATTCATAAAGCAACACTTTTTATAATTAATTTCATCAACAGTATATTTGAAGAAACCTACACCTTGTCACTAACAAGGTATAACAATCATTAGTTCTGAAGTTCATTCTAGACTAAAAGTTTCCTCACATATACTTTATGAGCTTTCATTCTGTCACTGAAGATATGCATTGTGGATTCTAACACAATATTCTCACATCAGTTTTCTGGAGGATATATATGCCTGTGAAGGAACAGGTGGCTGATTAATATAATTTTTTTTAAAAAAAATTAAATGCCTGAAACATTGCAGAGTAAGTACTTTTCTTTAAAGGAAGTATAGCTGACTCTAAATATAACTCTGGGCCACAGTTCACCTTTTCTGTTTATTTTATTCTTAACTTGTGAAACTGTATCTTAGGACATGAAGTATATAACTTGTTATTTGATATGAGCTGAACAACAGTGGATCAATTGTAATGGTTCTGGCACCAAAGGAAATGGAGGGGACTTAAATATGTTTCCAGAAGACAAAAAGCTCTTCTTTGTGTACAATTTACAACGTATGCTGCACTTTTAGAATATTCAAAAGTCCATAAAAAGTTTTCTCACTACTTCTCATTAAAGACCAAAAGGACAAAAACAGAAAACAAACTTATTCCAACCCACATAGTATCGATATTTATCAGATTTTTAGATGAAATTCAGACTGAAAACCACCGAAGACCTCCAGGTCTTCTCCCCCTTCCGGTAACAGCATTAGGATGGTATTCCTCACTGGGAAATGCACACACTCTCACGCACGTGTGTTATGTCGGTGCAGGAAGGGGCTGGGGGTGGAGTAGTGTTAGTGCAAACAGCTTTGGGCTCTTCTAGCTTCCTTGCTCACGGGTCATCTTAGGTTCGCTGTGGGCAACAGCAGGCTTTGCGACTGGGCCAGAGGGCTTGGCTCACCACCTGTGTACACCTGGGTACGTTCTCTGAAGCTACTGGAAAAATCTGTCACAGGGAACGCTGTGCGCTCCCTAACATCTCACATGCTCCTGGCTTTTGGGGTCCTGGATAACCGCCCCAGGATGTTTAACATTTCTCCTGGGGAGAGTTTCTCCCTGACAGGGGACCCCGAAGGACACACCCAAATATCTCTGATTTGACGATTAAGAAAGAAAAGGATGCTAAGATGCAAATGAGACAAAGTAACACCCAGAAATGAGCCTCGTTTGACAGGCCAAACTGATGTTTTAATGGAACGCTAACACATATCCCCCCAACGACGAATTCATTCTATCGTTTAAGTGAAAAATGATGTGTAATTTTAACTTCCACCACTGTCCTAAGAAACACCCCACAGTAACGAGCCGAGGAACAATGGACACCCCCACATCGCATTGTCAGGTAACGGCGAAGTGTGGCGGCGGGGGACCTCGAAGCCCGGCACGTGGGCGTGTCCCCCGCAGCGGGACGGGGTTCGGGGCTGCGCGGCTCACCGAAGCCCCAGCAAACCGTCCGTGCCAACGCCTCAGCCCGGAGAGGGACACACCGTCCCAGCTCGGCCCTGGAGGGCCAGCGAGGGGGCGCGGGGGCGCAGAGGGGGAGCGAGGCTCGGAGGAGCGGGCGCGCGAAGACAAGTCCGGGCGGAGTGGGGAGGACCCTCCGGGCGCGGCGCGGGCGTCCCGGCTCTCGGGTCTAAGGGGGTCCCTGCGCTCACAGAAGTACGCGATTTGGGGGGTTAAACTCCGGGTAGCGGGACAGGGTAAAGCTGAGACAAGTATGTGTCACACACACACACACACACACACACACACACACACACGAGGGACAAGAAGAAAAAGGAAAAGAGGCTGGATGCCCGGGTGTCCTGCTCCCGAGTGGCTCATTGAGAGGCAAAAGCTTTCTTGCAAGCGCGACCGCAGCCCGCGTCGCGCTGGGGACCAGCCGGGCAGGGTGCAGGACCTATCCCGGGGACCCCCAGCCTCCACCGCCCCGAGGGTGCCCTAAGGTCCCCCGCAGGGGGGTCCTCTATTCTGGGGAGGTCAGGGCGGTGGGTTCCTCCCCCGGGGCCCCGGCCCTGCCGTGGGAGGCGGCGGCAATGTGTGCTTAGTCGGCCTGGCCCCGGCTTAGGAAGGCGGGCGGCTGGCATGGCGACCTCAGGACCCCACGCCCTCCCACCGCTCAGCCTCCTCCCTGCACCCCCATTCATTATTTTTTCCTCCGCAGCTCCTGGTGCGGCCGCCCGCCCGCGGCCGGGAGCTCCGGGGGACGCCCGGGGGGGGGGGAGGCAGCAGGCCCGGTGGGGGGGGTGGTGATCGCGCGGAGGTAGCGGCCGCGGGGGGCGCCGCGGAGGAGCCGGGCGGCCGCGCGCAGCCCCCGGAGCCGCGCAGCCACGGCGGCCACGGCGGCAGCGGGGGAAGCCACGCCCGCTCCGGAGCCGGGGGCCGTCCCAGGCCCCCCACCTCCCCCCTCCTCCGCCCCTCCCGGCCCGGCTCCCTCCCTCCCTCCCTCCCCCTCCGCCCGCCGGCCCCGGCCCGCCCCCGGCTCGGCTCGCGGGAGGGAGGCTCGGGCGCCGGGGCTGGCGCGCTCCGGGGCGCACACACATCCGCGCACGCACCCCCCGAGCAGCTCTCCCCGCGCCCGCCCGGCCCTCGTCCCCCGCGTCCCCCTCGCCCATGCGGACGGACGGAGCGGCGGAAGATGGCTGACGACTCCACGGGGCACCGAGGATGCAGCCCGGCGCCGGCGGCGGCGTTGGCGGCGGCGTTGGCGGCGGCCGGAGCGGCGGCGGCGGCAGGGGCAGCGGCGGCGTTGGCGGCGGCGGCCGGAGCGGCAGCAGCGGGAGCAGGAGCGGCGGCGGCGGCATCCCCGAGCCTCCTCGAGCCTCCTTCCCCTCTGACAGCCTCTGACGTCCTCCGCCGCTAGGAGAGACCCCGCTTCCCCGGCGCCTTCCCTCCCCGCCCCCAGCCCAGCCCCGCGACACCGCTACCTCCGCCGGCGCTGCCACCATCAGCACCACCTCCACCGCCGCCGCCGCCACCGCCACCGCCACCGCCGGCGGCGGCAGCAGCCATTTCATCTCCCCAGAAACCAGACACAAAAACATGGCAGAAATGGAGAAAGAAGGGAGACCTCCGGAAAATAAGAGGAGCAGGAAGCCGGCTCACCCCGTGAAAAGGGAGATCAATGAGGAAATGAAGGTATTTTTTTGGGGGGGGCTCCGGGGCTGGAGAAGACCGAGCTCTTTTCTTCCGCCCGCTCCTCCCTGTCGGGCCGCGGCGTGGCTCTGGGGGTGCAGGGGGAGCGCTTGTCAGTTTTGGGAGGATGCCCCGGACGCCTCGGCGGCGGCTCCTCCAGGTGCAGAACGGGGAGGCCAGCTCGCAGGCTGCATGCATCCTCGGGGTTTGCCGACCTGCCGTTGGATGGGGTTGGGGGGGGGTGGCCGGAGGACCTCAGACCGTTTAACCGTGTGGACCCCAGGCTGGTGCAGGCGTGATGGAGGGGGAGGGAGGCGTCCGGCAGCCCAAGTGGCACGGCGGAGAGGCTTTCCTAGTCGGGGGGTGTAGTTATTTCCCCCGCTTCTGGATCCCTCCAAAGTTAGGAGCCGCCGGGCCGAGGCACCGGGGAGCGCTCCATTCCCCTGTCTCCCGGGTTCGTCTCCCCCCAAGCAGCCAGCTGTGCGGTGCAAAGAGGCTGTCAGTGCCGGGCGGCGCGGGTCTGGGTACCGTTTTTGACGTCCGGCTCGCCTCGCCCGCCCCTGCCCGCTCCCCTCTCTCTCGAGGCTGCCTCCGCCGCTCCTCTCTCTCTCTCGCCTTTGCATGCTTCACTTGTCCGTGAAGCAGACGCGGGCCAGCCCGGCTCACAGACAGCTGTCGGAGGGGCGGCCTGCGAAGAGCCCCTGCCCATTGTTCGCCGAGGCCAGCCCCGAGTCCGCCTGGCGAGGCCGGGCTCCCCGCCAGGCCAGCGGTGCTCCAGAGGTGGCGAGCGCGGCCGCCCGCTGCTCCAGCTGTGCCCGCCGGAGCGATTGCACCGAGCGGGCGCCGCTCAGCTCCAGACCCTCCTCGGCGCCCCCCCCCCCCCCCTTATTTTCCATGAAGTTGCAGCTTTTGCCCCGCGAGGGGTTTATTCTGTGATTACAGGAGCCTCTCCGGCTTTTTTTTTTTTTTTTTAAAGATTATTTTATTTACTTTTTTTTTTTCCTCTCTGAGTTATACACAAGTAGCACATGTGGGGGGACCTTCGTTTTCATCCTGCAGCTGTCTTAGGTCTCCCATCTTCTGCATAGAATCCTGAGCACTGCCGGCTGACATGGTCAGGGTGGCTAAGTTTGTATGTAAAAGACAAACTGAATGAAAACACAGCGCGCCACTGAGTTGGATTTATCGCATGTTGATGTTTTCTTCCTTAGGACAAGCATATTCTATGAGAGTGCCTTGTATGAAGCCCATGCTTAGAGAGGGACACATGGATACTATATCCTATATGTGCACCCCTGGAAAATTTCCATACAATCCACATTTTGAACTTAAGGCTCTTATTTTCTGGGTGAGGAACTTAGTGAGTGGAAGTAGGAGGTACAGGTTCAGTCCTAAGAGAGTGAAGAAAGATTTGCTTTGGAAATCAATGTCATTCTTTGGGATGGAAACCACCATTGATTCCAATCATAGTTTAAAAGAGAGAGAGAGAGAAAGAGAGAGAGAGAGAGAGAGAGAGAGAGAGAGAGAGAGAGAGAGACAGACCAGTAGTTGTCCTCCAAAGGGGCTGGAATTCAAACAATCTACAATAACCATTCTTCCTCACTTACCCTTCCTGCGTTTCCAGATCACTTTTCCATTTCATTTTAAATTGGGGGTGGAGGAAGAGGAGAGAGGTGAAGTAACCAGGAAATCAGTGTGCACTGGCCCTTTAAAACACTGCCTAATGTGATCTATATGGATGGCAGCTTTTAAGTTTCATAGGTTCTAGAATTACAAATTAGCTAATTTTAATCAAAACATGTGAAATGTTATCCCGGCTGGATATAAAGGCTGACTGTGCTCGATGCTCGGGGCTCGCGTTGTTGACTTTGGCTGCGGGTGCACTCCGTGGTTTGGGAGATAGTTGTCCTTCTACAGTATAACAGATGTTTGTCTGAACTGGTGAGGAAGAAACAAAAACAACATTGTGTGAAGGGGAAAAATTACACAGTTTTTAGCCAGTGCTACAGGACTAAGTATAGAATTAACCTCTGTGCACAGAATTTCCCTTTTGAAACTGTTATTTTCCTTTTAAATCACCACCTCCTATTTGAAGTTTTAATCCTTATTGTCTCAACCCAGAGCAGCAGTAAATGAAAAGTTTCAGCCAGCCAATAGCTGAGTTGCCTGTAGCATGGCGTTTCCTCTCTGGGTTGGAACAATGTGTCAGAGACCCCCCTGGCCAAAACCTTCAGTCCTGTCAAAGCACAGCACGCCAGGGAGTCGTGAAATCCCGTTCCTAGTGGAATTGTTCCTTGGGCATCCCTCTAATATGATAGCACGAAAAGTCCTCATTTTGAAAGGGATTTTTTTCAAAGACAAAAGGTGACAGGGTTATTTCGAACTCATTAAAATTGTTCCGTTTTTAAGGGTCATAACCATATCAATAAGACCCATCCCCAAACCTCATGGCGTAGTTACCCCTCCATCTGAAGTGTAGAGGAACATAGCAAGTCGGCTGCCCTGTGTAAAAATATGTGCAACAAAATGTCACCGAGAACACAATGTGGCCTTGTGCAGCTTCATATCGGTGCCGCTGGAGCTGCCTGGCTGTGTTTGCCTTCATCTGAACGGCTTTCATCTGGACCAGTGTAAACTAAGCCCTGGTAAGTAATCACTGCCCGGCAGAAAGAAAGGAATGTATACAGCTAGCACGGCCTAAGCTGTAAAAACGGAAACTTGAGCCCCCACCAGGATCACATATCAAGGCTGGAAGGTAGGGGAAATGAAAGGGGGAAAGAGGAGAGAGCGAATGGAAAAGTCAGCCTGGGAAGTGGAGGATCAGGAGGAGGCCCCCCTTGGGGAGATTTGGCTCCGGGATTAGGGAGTTTTATCATGGTGTACAGTGACCTACTCGGGTTTCAACACTGGTTGGATCAAGTTGCCTCTCTCTGCAAGCTGAAAGAAAAAGGGCTGGTGTGTATGTGATTTTTTCTCTCCCCCACCCTCCCTTCGGTAATAGAAAGGACATTGGTACCAGTGTCTATTTTAAGTACAGCCAATGCAGGGCACTGAGAACAAACAACAAAATTACCTCCTCATAGAGACTTCCTTCAGGGTTTCCTAAATGCGATGGTCACACATGTATTTGAAATCGGCTGGAGAAGACTGACGGGCTGAGGTTTCGCTGACACCAGTAATGGCATTGGGGATTGTCTTCCTGTGGCTGGCAGCTAATATTGGTTGCTGTTTCACTAGATCAGATATTGAGTTACATTTTCCTTATCACTGGTTTAATGTACATGGCAGTTGTAACAAATTTAAATTTGATACAATATAAATTTGTGTGTGAGGAGGACATGACTTGGCATAGCTAGCTTGGAGTGTAACTTCAGTGACAGTATCTTCCAGCAGAAATGTTTGTCTCATTATGACCTTTACAATGACTCTTTTATCTTTCCTCTTCTTCTTCCTCCCTCCCTCCTGGGTTTTTTAATTGATGAAAAAGACTCATTACTTTACTATATGTGTAATTAGTATGCCTTATTGAATTAGTGGCCAACAAAGGAAATTTGAAAAAAAAAAAGGTAATCCATATTTTGATTACTTTTGGTTTCAAAATTGAATATTGTGATTGTATCTAATGTAATATGTCTTCGTTATGCTGTCAACTCATGAGTATCATAATCAATGCATGTGAGGAGGGAATTCTGACATAGGGAAGGGTTAATTTGTTTTAGGAGTTCATCTAGAGCATGGTCGTTGTAATATAAAAACTGGTTTGTGTTGTTGGATGTGTAAATGTATATAGATGCATAAGTGTAAATAGAGTTCACTTACAGTTATGTATTGTGTGCACATAGATCTTAGGGAACAGATTCATTCAGTGGTTATCAAACAGTAATGCAACTAGAAAATCTATACCATGAGTAAAGATAAAGAGTTGAATTTTTACCTTTTAAAACTCTTTGGCAAAACCAGCATGATTACATCAAGCACTCTGCCCTGGGAACTTGCCTAAACAAACCATAATTAATGCATTTACAACGTTTGGCTACTTTATCAATTGCTAAACTACAAGATAATATATGTTAAACATCTAAGGTCTTCTCTTTTGCGGAGGAAGTTTTCTGTCTATAAATATTCTCAGTAAGTAATTTGTACCTAAAATTATGTGTCAGTCCTGATGCCTACAGCTAGAGTCAGTCACATCTGTTAGAGTTTAGTAGTAAACTCACCGCAAGATTTTCTAGTTTGGTTCCTGATGGTCTCCATTTGGCATTAAAAATGAACTGTGTCAGTTGCGTAGATGATAAAACAAGTTGCAGAGCTGAGCTGGTGACTGCCATGAGATATATAAATAGGTTGGCTTTATTAAAAAAATGAAAGGGAGAAATCAGAGTATGGATTAGAAAAGTTAGCATGGGTTAAAATCAATTTGTTATTAAAACTTGTATATTTTAAGTTTTGCTGTTGAAACACATCCTTAGTGTCAGACCCGGTAAGTCTCAGGAACCTAGGAAGTGGGCTCAGGACCAGATCACACGGGGGCCTTCACAAATGATGTCACACCTCTCCGCCTCAGGTGTGTCATGTGGCAGGACTGGGGGCCAATGTTAGTCGAGACATTAGTCCCAGTTCTTTCCCCTTGGGAGGTGGAATAGGATGTTCCTGAGCCCACCGGCCCTGTTCTCTGCATTGCTTTCAGTCTTCCAGCTCAATGCTCCGGTGCTAAGCCCCTGGGAGATGATCCCAGAAGGGCAGGAGAGCTGTGAATTCTGCTCTGTTTAACGGGAGGTTTTCTGAAGAGTCTCCATCTGTGAACCTGTGAGCATGATGTGTGGTGAGAGAGATTCTCCAAGCCTTATACAACTCGCAGGTTCCAGAGACAAGGAAATGGAAAGGAACCACTCCACTTCCTCCCAAATCTGAAATAAACATTTGAACTAGAAGAAAATGAGTCTGACAGACTCATTCCCTTCTGCGTTTCCTGCCTCTGTGCTTGCCAAGCACCGCTCTGAGAA